CGACTGGGCCCCTGAGAAGACATGATGGAGCAGAAGTAGGTGGCTGGGGTCCTGGTGAGGATTTGGCACTGTGCCCTGTGAAAGTGCTCCCTCCCTACCTCCCTGGCATGACAGAAGAAAGAGCCGGCAAAATCAGAGAGTTACTATAAAACCAGGCCTCACTGCACAGCAGATGGTATAGGTGACCACTCTGCCAGGCAGAAGGCTCACCACTGGAACCCTGAACAAAGCTCGGTGCCCCGGCCTGCAGGAGGAGAAAAATGGCCCAAAGTGCAGAAAAGGATTTGACAGAATTTACCACCCACTCATGGTATAGACTCCTGCAAATAAGACAAAGAGATTTTTCAAGCTGATCAAGGGGGTGCTTTTTTTTTTTTTTTTTTAAGAACACAACAAGCATATTTAATGCCTTTTATTTAACCCAAGAAGCAGCAGGGAAGAGAACCCAGATCACATTTCTATCTGTATATTAGCAAGAAAAATAAGTCTTAGTAGCACAAGAAGATAAAAGGAAATAAAAGAAGAATTGGAAAAACATTAGTAGCAAAGGTGCATGCCTGACATTCCAGCTACTTGAGAGGCTGAGGTAGGAGGATTACTTGAGTCTAGGAGTTCACATCCTGCTTGAGCAACTTAGCAAGACTCTGTCTCAAAATTTAAAAAATAAGTAAATGATAAAAATGGGCTGGGGATGCAGCTCAGTGGTAGAGGACCCTGGGTTAAATTCCTAGTACTAAAAGAAAAAAAGACAAAATGCTTCCAAATAAATATTGCATAAAAGCATGACTTTTGTAAAAATGAACACTATCAAAATAAGCTAAAAATGAACCTAAAGATTGAACATACATATTGTTCTTGTATTGGAAGCTCAGTGTCACAAAGATGTATAATTTGCCCCAAACTGATCTGTCTGATCCTGTCCAAAGCCCACTGTGTGTATCTGCGTAACCTGACATGCTGATTCTAACAGAAGGGCAGTCAAGATGGCCAAGAGGATCTGAAGGAAGAAAACAGCATTCGCATCACATTTCAGCTGTTAATACAGAGGCACCTAGGGCAGGAGGCCCTGATTAGAGACAAGAGTCCTGTGTCCTCTAAGAGCTGGCATCAGCCAGTTTGAGACAAATGTATAGATATGACATCTGACTTACGCCATGCAGAAAAAGTCGGTTGCAAGTGGTATAAAATGGAAAAGCAAAATCACACAAATTTTACTTATTTTTGAGACAGGGTCTTACTACATAGTACAGGCTGGCCTTGAACTTTTGGCAATCCTCTTGCCTCAGCCTGCCTAGTGTTGGAACTACGGGCATGTGCCACCATACCCAGCATCACATAAATTTTAGAAGGGTTTAGGACAATATGTTCCCAGTACCTCAAATGAATAGCAGTGAGGCAAGGAAAAACTGATTTCCAAGATCCAGAAAGCAAGTGCAAAAGAGATTTGGATGCAGTTGTGTTAAGAACGTCTATCCATTGAAAGAATCACGAAATAAGCAAGAGACAGGCACAGAGTTAGGGGAGAGATGAGAGATAGCAACTGCGCCTATCTGATGGAGAGGTTACACTGGGAAAGTGGGTGACTCCCTCCAGTCGATGAGAAGGGCAGAAGAACCTAGCTGAGACATGGAAGGGAGACTTGAACAGCGCTCATCAAGGGGGCAAGCACAAAGGAGTAATAAACACGTGAACTGGGCTTGGCCTCTGGTACTCGGGGGGAAAGCATATTAAAGCCAAAACAAGATACTGAAATCACCAGGCTGACAAAGCCTCAGGCTGAGGCTTCCACAGGGTCAGGAAGGTGCCATACTGTGGGAGCCAGCAGCCCTGTACCACATTGGTCCTGAGGGACCTGTTCTGATCCAGGAGGGCTGCAGCGGGTTCACTGCAGAACTTGTGGAACTAGTGGAGCCTCCATCCAATGGAATGAGGGATAAGGGGTTATGTGACAGGACAGGACATGTGGTGACAACAAAGGACTCATGATGTGTCAGCTGGAGCACGCAGAGGGCTGTCTACAGGAAGCGCAATTCGTGTGAGCCGTGTGCACACCACTGTATGGGGTCACCACATGTGACAAGTAGGTGGGGCTCTGGGTGTCTGGGGTGAGGGCAGGGATGCACAGGATCTTCTGCATCCTCCACAGAGACACTGATAACCTTCAGTGCTTTTACAATTAAATCTTGGTTACACAGCTGAGGAAAGTCCCCTGCAGAGCTCCTGCCCCACTGACCCCAGGGACCTGACACACACTGGTAGGATTTAGCAGGGGCCTTGGTGAGACCCTGAAGGGCAGCTGGGAACGGAGCAGGACGCATGGCCACACACAGTCATCAATGTGGGACTCTGGGGTATATTCTAGGGTTCATGGGTGGCACCTGTCACCTGGGTGTGGGCCCCAGAAGTTGGAGAATGAATGGGATGGGATGGGAAGAGGTACTGCTGTCAGAGAGGGAGGTGATGGCACAGGGCCAGAGTCAGTGAGGTGGGGGTTGTGAGGAGCAAGAGGCTTGCTGAGGTGTGAGCAACCCCGGAGGTATGCAGTGGACGTGGATGTCACACAAAGGATGCTCCATGCTCAGACCCTGGTGCAAGCCCCACCTCATTCTGACTGCTTTCTCCAGGGTTTCTCTCCACACACCTTGTTTCTTCCCTCTGCTAACCCAAAAGGTCCCTTCTCAGCCTTATTTCTTGTTTTACTGAAAGACAAGAAAGTAATCAAAAGTCACTCTCTTCTTCCAGATTAATTGCAGAGCCCACCTGTGCCTGAGTGTCATCAGATCCTTCCTGCAAAAAGGAAAAACTGCCCCAAGTTCTGTGGCCTGTCCTCAGGGCAGCACCCTCTCCTTCCTGCACCAGCAGTCTCTCCTGCAGCCCATGAGGCCCAGTGATCTCGCCCACCTTTAGAGCACTCCCAGAGCTCTCTTTGGGTTATATCTCTCCAGCTACTAGTTCCACATCTCTGCTCCCCTCTGCAGAAAGACTTGCTTGCTCAGTGATCTACACTGGCAGCACACTCTTCCTCCCTGGACGAGCTGTCCACACTCATAGGAGACCCTTCCTTGCATTTCCTGGTGTGGCCAGCGCTGTTTCCCTATGCCATAGGCACACTCCCTACTGTGCCCAGCTCCTGGGCATTGCTCTGGCTGCTAAAAGCCCCATGTCCTTCCAGTCTAGACTCTTCTTCTGCGATGACCACTTCAGGTCTGGCAGGACAGTGCACCGGAGGGGCCATCTGCCAAGGCTTGTGCAGGATGCAGCAGCACCGTGGGGCAGAGGTCTCTGGAGCCTGAGCTATTGGCCTCAGACACAGGGAGGGACAGGAGGCGGAGAGCAGAGAGGGCAGAGGGATGGGCATTGGCGGGTGGGCATAAGTGGGGAAAGAGTACCTGACCTTGCTGCTTTTCCCTCAGTGCAGATGGACCCAACACATGGGGCAGGATGGGGCACAAACCCATAGGGCCTCTCTCCTGGACACCTTCCACATCTCTACTTCGACGCCATGCGTGGTTCCTGATTCTCATCTCTGTGGAACACAGTCTTCCCCTGTGCAACCCTGTCTCGGTACCACCACCCACATAGTAGCTCACTGCAAAATCGATGCCTCAGCTTTGCCTCCTTCACACCTCCCCTCCAGCACACCTGCAAGTATGCTGGTGTTGAACAACTCCTGGTCTATACAACACCATCTCTGTTCTCCTCAGTGGAGACACCCAATCTGCCTCTCCATTTCTCTCCCAACAGGACACCTAGCAGCCTTCCTGTCCCCTTCCTATGGAAGGGAATCTTGTGCAACTGTATGCTGACTAGGTAATGAGAGGTCTTGTCTGCATTAAGCAGATTTGCTTAATAGAGTATAAAGGGGAGCCATTCCTTTATTATAAAAGGGTATCATAAATTTTTTTTAAAAGATTGCCCGATCTTTTCTTATTTTTTGAGATGGTGGTGTAAAGATGTGATGCCTTGAGCTACAGCAGCTCTTTGGGCCACGAGGCGACATATGAACACAAAAATTGTGGTGACTGCGGCAGGAAGATCAAAGAACTGTTCCTAAAATTGATTTTTATTATGTGAGGTTAAAAACTGTGTAGTGTAAATGGCAGACTTGACCCCTAAATGATCCATGCCAGGCTTCCCGCAGGGCTGCCTGCAGCAGTAGTCAGAAGGGCTTTGGGGATGCAGGTTGGGGTCCCCAGACATGGTCTCCCCTACCTGAGCTTTTGCTCTGCAGCACTGGTTCACACCAGGACTGTGGGGTACAGAGATCCCCACAGCCAGCTGCGCGCCTACCCCAGACACTCATAAAGCAGACTAGGGTGCAGGCTCATGGGTGACACTGCGTGGGCGCAGCCTTGGTACCACGAGGTCAGTCTGTGTCCTTGGGACACAAATGTCACCTCCCTGAAGGTGCAGCCGGTGGTGGCAGTGAAGGTGCTGGACGGATGGACGCGCGTGGACTAAGGGGTGGCGGGGGGGCCCAGGAGGGGTTTGTTGAGGTGTCACTGAACAGCGAGCGAGTGATGTCCGAAGTGGGACCCTGGAGCCCAGGCAGAGTCCGCGCGTGGCCAGGTGACGGGCGCAGCTGTGCACTTAAAGCCCTAGCCACTGTGGCGTCCACGCCGGAAGGGCAGTGGGCGCGGCCGGAGCTCAGGTCTTCTCTGCGGTCCGAAGCGCGGGGGAGGGGCGCGGCGAGGAGGCCGAGGCTGGAGCGAGGCGTGAGCGGGGACTCGGGTGCGGCCCTCCCACCTCTGCCGTCGCAGCTGTCTCGGGGCGCCGGGAGGGTCAGGCAGGGCGGGGTAGAGGCCACGCCGCCCGCCCGGTTGACCAGGGCTCCGCACGAGGCTCGCGCTCTAGGCGGCGCCCCGAGCGGGGGGCGCACGGGCGCACGGGGCCGTGGGCCCAGCGCAGCCTCGAGGGCCAGGGCGGGGGAGGCGCGGGGGCGGGACTGGTGCTGATTGGCCGCGTGCCGCCACGTGACCGGTCGCTTATAGGGCGTGGCGCGGCCGCGGCTCGGGTGCGGCGCGGCCGGCCGGGCGAGGTCCGGTGCGGTCTCGCAGCTCGCATCTGCTCTGCTCCGGCGCCCCGCGCCCTCCCTGCCGGGGCCGCCGGGCTGGGGATGCGCGCGGTTCCCGAGAGCCATGGTCCGCTTCGGGGACGAGCTGGGCGGCCGCTATGGGGGCGCGGGCGGCGGGGAGCGGGCCCGGGGCGGCGGGGCAGGGGGCGCGGGTGGCCCGGGCCCCGGGGGGCTGCAGCCTGGCCAGCGGGTGCTCTACAAGCAGTCGATCGCGCAACGCGCGCGGACCATGGCGCTGTACAACCCCATACCGGTCAAGCAGAACTGCTTCACTGTCAACCGATCGCTCTTCGTCTTCAGCGAGGACAACGTCGTCCGCAAATACGCCAAGCGCATCACCGAGTGGCCATATCCTGCCGGTCGCTGGTGGGGGCGCGCGCCAGGGGCCGCGGTGGTGAGGAGGGGGCGGGGCAGGGCTGGGCCCGGCTCCTGTTTGCGTGGTCGCGGGGGCGGTAGCGGTGGCGGTGGCGGGGCTGACGGGTGAGTGGAGGGGCCGATGCGCGGGTGAGCGAATGGGCGGTATCCCGGGGCTCCCGTGCACCTCGCTTGCCGGTCCGGGGAGCCCTCTGGGACAGGAGCAAGCAGTCGGCCTGGAGGGCACCCGTGGGAGCCCTGTGGACGCGGCCCGTGCGCGCGTCGGCTGCAGGTGGTGCGCGCGAGTGCACCCGGGGCTCGCGGGACACATGTGTTAGCGCGCTCAGGTGGGCACTTGTGTCTGTCTGCCTGGGCATGCATGTGCGCCTGCGCAGCCTAGGGCCCGCTTGGGCGCCGGGCGCTGTCCGCGGTGCTGACGACCCCCCCTCCCCCGGACGTGCAGGACTGGCGGCTCTAACTGCAGACGCCCCGCCCGCCCGTGCTACGTGGTAGTAGAAGCTCTGGCCCGGCAAGGGTGGGCATGGGCCTGTCGTCCCATATCCCTGCCTGGGCTTTCAGTCTCGTCCTTAACCCACGCACTCCTTTCGAGTACATGATCCTGGCCACCATCATTGCCAACTGCATTGTGCTGGCGCTGGAGCAGCACCTCCCTGACGGCGACAAGACTCCCATGTCCGAGCGCCTGGTGAGTGCTGGCAGGCGGTTGAGGGTGGGCGGTGGCAGCCCCTCCCATGTGAGCTGTGTATGGTCTGTCCTGAATGGGCAGCTTCCCTACTCCAGTGGAGAGGCAGAATGACTCTTCCACAGCTGGCACCTCCCTTCAGAGCTGGCTCAGTCCCTGATGTGAGGACGCAGCGGCCATCAGCTGTCTGACTTGGGCCTTGAGTACCTGAGTTTCCAGCTGGACTCTGATGTAAGAGTTTTAGATCTAGGGGCAGTAAGGGCATTCATCCTGGTGAAGGGAGGAAGGTCAGGGGCTACAGCGTCCAGGGGAGGGTAGGGCGGGCGTCCACCTTCCTTGCAGGGCCAGCAGAAGCCTCGGTGCAGAGATGAATCTGGGAACTGTGATTTCTCCTTCCCATCCCCTTCCAGGACTGATGGATATCCTTTAAATGGAGGGTCCACTAGTCACAGGGAAGCTCTCCTTCCAAACAATCAGTCATTTTACCTCCAACTTCCTGCTGAGAGCCCCCCAGTCTCTGCAGTGCGTTCACTGCAGTACAGAGCTTGTGAAAATTAGAACAGGGCCAGGACTTCTCAGGACACTGGATTGCAGTCCTGGGGCCAGCAGAGGGCAGGGGTGAAGGCCAGTTGGCAGGCTGTCTGGAGAGGGAACATGTTGCTTTGGGTGAGCACCCCTTTGCTCAGCCCTAGTTCTTGACACTGCCCCAGGTCTTTGTCTTGGGACCATAGTTAAGGCTCAGAGTGCACAGAAGGAAAAGCATGTGGTCAGGAGAGGGCCTTGGGACAGTGTCTGTGGTGACAGCCTCTTGGGCATCTGGCAGCTCTGTCTTCCTCCTCCCTGGCTGCTTTTCTTTGACTTCAGCTTGCAGAAGATGAGGCATTAAAAGAGCTTAGTGTGGGAGGGTACTGTGCTACTTTCTGGTGTGACTGGCCATGCCCAGCTGTCCTGGTCCTGTGCTGTACGATATGGTAAGGCTGCTTTGGTGGTGCTGACGATTGGGTTGGCACCATACTGGGTGGACACCAGAAGATGGGAGCTTCCTGGAGGACCATGGAAGGCACAGGTGACAGAGTCCCTCCCCTCTTCTGGGCCTCAGGCTCCTGCACTGGTGGGAGCCCTTGTCTGCTCTGTCCTGATGGGGAGCATGGGCCCCAGAAGCCAGGAAAGAGGGCAGGAGTGATAGGAGCCTGGGGTTCAGGCTCAAATACCAGGTTTAGGGCATGGCCTGCCCCAAGGAAATGAGGCCCAGTGGTGGGTGCAGAAAAGCCAGCATGTGTGCTGGACAGGCTCAGTTGTCTTCTCATGGCTCCACCTGGTGCCTAGCTAGCTGTGCAGGCTTCTGCCTGAAGACTGGCTAGGTTTAACTCTGAGGGAGGCGTTTCCTTTGGAAAAGGGAACAGAAATTAGATCTCTGGCTGACCCCAGTCTAGGGTGCAGCTCAGCCCTTGAGGGTGCTTGGGGAAGGCAGCAAGGAGAATGGGCCAGCCCCATGGGTGGTATTCCCAGCGTCCCCTCCTGCTTCCATTTCTAGCGCTGCCTAGCTTAGATCTACTGCCTGTCCAGCCCTGGCTGTGTGCATACCCTGCGTGGTTCAGGACAAGGCTGGGAAGGAAAGAGGGGTCATACTGATCTCTTTCCTGATGGATTTCTGCAGAAAGGGTCCTACCTGCTTTGCTGTTTTCTGTCCATAAACTGTTTGTGAGTCCTGTCTTTTGAGGCCAGTGGCTCCCCTAGGGTCATCAGCTGCACCCCTTGGGGAGAGGGAACACTCCTGAGAATAGGAAAACAGGTGCCTGGAGACCAAGAGGCCGTGTGTATAGCCCTCCAGGGACCTTACCTGTTGTGAGTCAGCATCAGGGTGCAGAACAGGAGCACCCGGCCCCTCAGTGGCAGCCATTGTTGTCAGCCAGGCCACGGGCTGGTTCTGCTGTGGGCAAGAGGCCGTGTGATGGTCAGTGCTTCCTGTGGGAGCTGGCAGTGCCTTGCAGCTGGTGCCCAGGCCCAGTATTTGGCCCTTTCCCTTGTAGGGCAGAGCACCTCTCTGAGGGGAAACTCCTCCCGGGTTCCCACAATCTAGAGGGAGAACACTCAGGGGATTTTGGTGGTGGCCTCCTCTGTGCCCTGTCTACTTCTTTTTTTTTTTTTTTTTTTTTGTCTTTTTCGTTTTTATCGGTACCAGGGATCGAACTCACGACTGCCTGCTTGCAAGGCAGGCACTTATGCCGCTGAGCTAAATCTCCAGCCCCAGCCCTGTCTACTTCTTAAAGTGTTAGTTCCTGAGTGCAGACATCTTGGTCCTTGTGCTGACTGTGTTCAGCTCCCTGGGGCACTCTGTCTGTTTTCCACACACGAAAGTTGTCAATGCTTACCATTTGTGTCCTTACCCTGACACCTTTTCTCCCTGTGCTCCAGGTTCTGGGCTCAGACTGGAAGGGTCTGCCCTGCTTGAAGCTCCATGACCTTGGCTGAAATGCAGCTGGGATGGAGGAAAGGGATTTATTAGACTGTCCCATCTTCATCCCTGCAGTCAGTTTTCTCCAGCTGGAGCCCTTTCCTCAGTGTCTAGCCAAGTAGCCCTTACCCCGCCCTGATGTCACACCCTGGCTGGGTCTGAGTCTGAGACCAGCTTGGCTTCAGCCTGGGCCAGCCCTGTCCTTGACTTGCGGGACCTGGGACCTTATTGGGTGGGCATCATTGCTTGGCTGGACAATATAATTTATAAAATTTATAAAAGATTTTATAAATTTTTTATTGATTTCCAGAAGGGTTTGTATGTTCTGCTTATTTAGGAGTTTGCTGAGTGCTGAGGCTGAGTACTAGGCAGCATCTAGTGTTATCTGGGCAGTTGTGTGTGGTAGCCAGAGTCTGGGTCAGACTGCTTGGCCCAGGGACTCTGCTGTGTTTTCTGCCAAGCTCCTTTGTTTCCTTAGGACTGGGAAGACTGTGAAGGATATTGAAGGAGTTGCTATGGTTAACACAAGGAAGGGTTTTACCTCTCTCCAACCAGGGTTGACACTTCCCTAAGTGGGCCTACTGTGTGCTGCAGGCAACCGGTCCTCAGCACTCTGTGGGGTGGAGCACACAGCCGAGGCCAGGACACCAATGTGGTGCCTGCCTGTGGGGGCCGTTGCAGACAGACACATGCAGGCCTGCCGTGGAAAGTGGGCTGGAAATGTCTGGGTGCCTCAGGTGGGGTCAGGATGGTCCATCTTAGGGCCTGCTGTCCTGACCACTGCCCTGGGCATGGAGATGACTGTGGCCTTTGCTCCTTCTTAGGATGACACGGAGCCCTATTTCATCGGGATCTTTTGCTTTGAGGCGGGAATCAAGATCATAGCCCTGGGCTTCGTTTTCCATAAGGGCTCCTACCTGCGGAATGGCTGGAATGTCATGGACTTCGTGGTGGTCCTCACGGGGTAAGTGGGAAGGGCCCATGTGCATGGGGTATCCCTGGGCCCTGTCTGAGACGGTATGCAGTCTCCCTCGGATGAGCATGCTTCCCCTGAGTTGTCTGAGCTGCTCCTCTCCCAGGAGGCTGATGTGCTGTGCCTGGTCACAGAAGCTGGGTTCCCACCGGGCTCATAGCTTAGGGCTGGTATGGCCAGCATGTTGCCTGCTGGGTGTTGGCTGGGTCTGAGGGTGGAGGGCAATGACCTGGGAGGGCAATTGGCATCTTCTGCTGAGGGACAATCAGGTGACATCTCTCTGAGCCCAGAGTGGCCCTGGGTGGTGCTGTGTGTCCCGTCTGGCTCTTGCTCCAGGACAGACGGCACTGAGTGTGTTCTCGTCATGAGAAGTTCTTGATTTCCCAAGCCGCCAGGAAATCTGGGATCAACCTCTGCCTCCTGAGAATGGGGTGGAGTTTCTGTAGACTGAGAATTAAGGCTCTGGGCCAGGCCAGCCATAGGTTTTCCCTGGAGCTCATGTCTCAGGTGGAGGGGAGGAGCCAGCTGCATTGTAGGGTCACAGTCCTCTCACTGGTTTACCAAGCCTGGTATAGAGCAGTGCTGGATGTGATGGGGAAAATGACTGTGGGTTCCTTGGGTCCGGGGCTCCAGCTTCCTCAGCCTCCCGGGAGGAAAGGATCTTGACGAGTGGCCTTGAGGTCACTTGAGGCTACCCCAGGGCGCACTGCATCAAGGAGGCTTTGTGCCCTGCCCAGGACACTGTTTATTTTTCAGGATATCCCCTGGGTCCAGCTGAATGGCAAAGCATCAGGGATGGGTTTGGGGGCCCTGCAGGGTCCCTTCCTGGGTGCTTTTGTGGGAGAGAGGCTGCAGAGCCCACCCCAGGATCCCCACAGTGTGTTGCCAATTCTGGATGCCTCTCTGAGGACCAGAGGAGGTGCCCAGGTTGGGGCACAGCGTGTGCTGAGCAAGGCTCACAAGGCAGCTCCCCTTCCTGGTAGCTCCAGGGAGAGGGGCAAGGCAGAGACTGTGCTGAGGTCCTGCTGTGTCTTTCTCCGTCTCTCCTCTGCACCCCTGCCCGCCTCTGTGTCCCCTATTACGTCCTCTTCTGGACCTGTGTCCTGGCCTCTGATTTCTACCTCAGGCTGTGTTCTCTTAGGGCCTCTGTGGTGGTGCTAGGGTGGTGAGGGGAACCCAAGATGGGGTACTATGTCTCAGAGCCACAGACCTCTCTGATTGGGTATGTGAGGGCACGGGGACCTGTGTGTGTCTGTATGTGAAGGGGTGCTGGTCCCTGGGGTCCAAGGAAGAACCCTGTCCCCAACTGCCTGAGCAATAGAGTCCCCTGAGGCTCTGGGCATGGTGCAGTGCTAGGCAGGCACGGTCTTTCTCATTACTCTGTTGTTTTTAATTAGGGCTTAGCTAATTGGTGCTCAGAGGGCTGGAGGCCAGGAGGGAGGAGGCAGGCAGCACACTGGCTGTTGCCTGGTGACTCTGACACTGTCCCAGTGGTAAAGCTGGGTCCTTCCACTGTGGCTGTGGCTGGTGTGGAGGTGCAGAAGCCGCCTGGGGGATCCTTGCTCTGCTGCCCTGGGCCAGCCTCTAGGCTGGCACAAACCTGTCATTGGGCCTGGTGCACCATACCTACTTGGCTTCCTCTCCAAACCCGAGCTTTACTGGGGGTTCTTCAGGGGCAGCAGTCCTGGGGAGGTGGGGTGGTACCTGAACTGAGACCCACACAGGGCCCAGGTGCTCTGCCTTATGAGGATGAGTATGGAAGGGCACCCCAGCCTTTCTTGGGAGCCAGATTCTCAGCTAGCTCAGCCCTTGTGGAACCAACCAGTGGTGGCAGTGCTGGTCCCTGCCTCTGTGTGGAGGGAGTGCCAGCTCCTGGCCTACCACTCGATCTGCCCCTGCCCATTTCTCTCCCAGGCAGAACTGGGGCCCTGAGCCCACTGGCTGTTGGCCTGGCTATGCACACAAATGCAGAGGGCAGCTGAGGGGTGTGTTCTTCTGTTTCTCTGCCCTCCTGCCCATCTGTCCCTTCAGCTCGCTTTCCTGCTTTTCCGCCAATGCTTCTATTCATCTACCCACAGGCACCTCCTGTATCCATTGTTGGTCCCTTGGACATGGAGGATGTGGGGTGAGCAAGTGACCGAGCCTAGCTGAACTCCTCAGCACACTCATCAGCCTGAGCCCTTGACAGGAACCTTGGACATCCCTGAGTGTGCTCTGGTTCTGTTTCCTGTCCCCAAGGGCGTGCATGCAGCCAGAGCGGGTGTTGGCTTGTGTTGACCATTCTTTTGTGGTGCTGACTCGACCTCTGTAGGAACGTGAAGTAGACAATGGCTTGGGCACCAGGAAGGGGTGGGTCCTGTGTGCCAGGGCAGGCTGTGCAGCCTTGTTCTCAGGCCACCATGCAGGCACCAAGGACCCAGGTCCCAGGGCCCAGGCTTCCCCTCACTTAAGAGAGGCCTGACTGAGGGCCTGCCGGGGTTGGGATGGAAATGTGTGCTGCACCAGAGCCAATGGGTGGGGACTGGTGGGAGCAGAGGAGACCCAGGAGTGCTGATGCAGAGTCATTTGCAGGAGGCTGTTCTGTCACTGAACAGAGGCCAGCATGGTAGGAAGGTAGGTATGGCCCAGGCGGTCTGGTGGGGCGTGTGGCTGCTGGCTCTGCACAGAACAGGAGCCTGGGGGTACACACAGTCAGCAGAGAGATGGAGTTCTCCCAGACCTAGGGCTGTTCCATCAAATTTGGAAGTGTGTTGCGGAGGAGTGAGGTTTGTGAGAAGTGTAGGAAACTGAATTACAGGGCAGAAAAAGGAGGGAGAGAGATGGGATTAGGATGGAGGGTGTAGTGGGGCTCCCTCTGTGCCTCCCCACCCAGTCTTCCTTGAGTCTTACCTTGAGAGGACTTCACTGAGGGCATCTACTGCTGCTCACCCTGTCCAGGATCCTAGGGTCACAGCAGTGATCAAGTAGATGAGTTCCTGTTCTGGTATACTGTCTCCCCCAAGCAGATGGACAGTGGGTGTGGACATCAGGGCCTAAGCCTGGGGCTAGGGAGGACATTCACTGGGCTCAGGGACCTGGCCAAGTTCCATGAGGATGAGCTCAGGGTCCAGGGTGAGGGTCAAGCTGTGGGGGACAAGCACACAGGAGGCTGTGGGGCATGGCTGCCTGTGTAGGTGGCCAGGTGACCCAAGAGCCACACAGGCACCAGGCCTGGTGGAGGTGTCCTGTAAGGTGGGGTGGTGGGAGCCTCTTGTGTACCTCCTACCCACCTTTTGTCCCTGCCTCTCCTGGCCTTCAGCTCAAATGCCATATCCCTGTTGCATCTCTGCCTGCTGCTTCCCTCATGGACCTCAGGGATGCAGAGAAAGTGTCCTGGCTCAGCCAGGTGGCTCCCTGGGGTGTATTTCCAACCACAGCTTCTCACTTTACTCCAAATTAAACTGGAATTTCTTTTCAGGACATGTAATTAGAGCGTAGGTTCTTGCCTCGCTGGACTTGGCTCCTGTGGGAAGAGGGAAGGGTTGGGGGAGGGAAGGAAGTGGGGAGTACAGAGTCACCCTCGAGTGGGAGCCCTTGGACCTGAGTGCCAGGCCAGGTTGTTTGTGCTGGTGACTTGCTGGTCCTCTCCTTTGGGGCTGTGGACACAGGCTGATTTGGGGACAGGGTGTCTGGGTGCTCCAGGCCAGCATTAGGGTTTCTGTGTTGCTTAGGCAGGGACTCTGAACTTCTCTCCCCTTCCCTACCTAAGCCTTGAGGTTGTCCTGATGCTCAGCCCTCCCAGTGGCTGGAATGAGTGGTCAGGGCTTGAGTTCTGTGATGGCCCCATGCATGCTTCTCTTGTTGTGTGGTCTGGCATCTGCCCCCAGGCTGTCCATGGGGCCTCACTGGTGACTCAGTGCAGACCTGGTCAGGTGTCCATGCAGCTCCCCAATCTGGCAGAGTGTGCTGAGACCCTGCTCCTTCAGCTCCAGCTGTGTGCTATGGGAACCCTGGGTGGGTGATGGGTCCAGGACAGTGCCTATACCTCATACCCCTCCAAGCAAGGGTCTCCTTGTCCTCCTTGTCCCTGGGAAGGCCAGAGCCCTGCGTTGTTTATGGTTATGTAAGGCCTGGGATTGAGGCTGTGCCCTGTGGGTGGAGTCCCAGCCTCCTCTGGCACCCGCCCTCATGCTGGTATTTATAGAGGACCCAGCATACTCCCCGCCTTCTTATTCGCTTGCTTCTATCTCTTGGTTTTAGGGGGCAGAGCTGTATATGTGTACCCTATGCCCCTGTCCTTGTGTGTGGGAACTGAGAACCCTGTGGTCCTGAGCAGGATAGGGTCTGCATTTCTTAGGCTTGAAGCAGGTATGGTCCCTGTGCTGTCTCCTAGGTCTGTGTCTTCTGGGTATTGTTTGGATATGGCGTGGAAGGAAGCAGTGTAGGACTGGTTCCTGGCAGGCTGTTTGGTAGCATGCAGACCCTGGGGCCTCCTACTGCTCAGGGGAGCCCATGAGCCCCAGCCAATGCCCTAGGACATAGGTCCTGCATGTCTGCTGCCATAGAGGAGAGGTTTCCACCAGACCAGCTAGGGCTCAGGGTACCTGTCCTGAGGTTGGTATGGTCCCCAGGCTGTCTTTTTCTTGTTTCCTCATCTGAGAGGTGCAGGCCTTGCTGGGTACCTGGGACCAGGCCCCTGCCCCTGTCTGTGTGCTCACAGCAGAGACCTCCACTACTTCAGGTGCACTCTGTAGCCCAGGCACAGTCTTCTGCCTACCTGGCTAGCTCTAGGGCCATGGGTTTTCCAGGTCCGTATTCTGGGCAGCTGAGGCCTGGGTTGGGGACTGCACTACCAGGTCTGCAGTAATGGGTGGGGATAGCACATCTACCTGTGGCCCCCACAGGTCTCAGGATCTCGATGCCCAGAGGCCTCTGGATTTCATTTCCAGTTTCCTGAAAGGAATTGGGATTCACAGTCCATGGTCAACCTGCTCTTTAGGTGCAGCTTGTGG